AAAGACTAAATAATGGGAGAAATATATCTTCTTTTCATCGGCTTAAGTAAATTTCGTTTTCTCTGCAGCACTTAGAAGCCTTAATTCCCAAAACAGAGAATATCACCAGCAAATACAAACAAGACAAAACATGTAGGTGGACAGGCCAAAAGATTTCCACTAGTTATGATTTGGTGTCTTCACAGTAGAACCAAAGGATGGACAAATAAAATCCAGTCTAAAAAAGCACTGAAAGTAAGGACTCAAAAAGCCTCAAAAGAGATGCCAGGGATGTCTGCTCGCCCCAGAACCTTGTAACTAATATCATTTCTTGCTGATCGTACTGCTGCATTCAAGGAAGCAGGACTCTAACTAAAACCAGAATGTAATTCAACCTCTGACTTTTGTAACAAATTCTTCTCCTAGATTGAGCAAAAACTTAAAATTCTGGCTAAGTGCTCAAGTGAAAAGGGTCACAGTATTAAAAAAAACAACAACAACAACAAAAAAAAACAAATAAAAAACTTTGGGCATCACATGATTTCTGCCGAGTTTTACTTCTACTTCTATTCCTAAAGGCTCAAAGAAATAAATCAGTATACCTGTTGTGCCTTAGAATTCAATTAAGAAAGTGTAGAATCCAGCAAAACCTAATGAGAATAGAGGAAAACAGATTTTTTTTTTAAGAGGCTTTAAAAATCAAAATAATACTCTCAGATCTCAATAAGTCTAGAAATGCAGTATCATTTACACATTTTAATTATGTAGTGCTTGGAAAAAAAAAAACAACACACTTTATCTTTGCAAGGTAATATTTTGTTCTCTATTCTTTTTAAATTGTTTTGCCTGATTAGTATTTTAGACACATTTGCTATGTGGAGAAAAGAATTGAAATCAAAACAAAATCAATCACTCCAGTTGTGATCCCACCTGGTCTCCAGGGTCTACAGCATCATTTCTAATGAACTCGGCAGCTGAATAATCTTTGAATATGATTTTAGGAAGGAAAAATTGTTATACTTAGCTTGTGCTAAATTAATTAAAAGCAGAATCTTTACTTAAGATGGAAGGATATATACATGTATTTCACATGAGCTATCTTAACCAGGATCACAATACAGACAAGGCATTTAATTTGCCACAAAATTAACCAGTGCCAGCTAGACTACAGATCCAGAGTTTGTGGCATCCCTTTTACCTTACAGCATTGCACTTTCATGAATTCGGGGTAGAAAGCCACATCTTCAATAGGAACCAAGACAAAGGTTATAAAAGTTGGTTTTAAAAAAGTATTATTAAAATAAACTGGAATGCTCACTCAAGCTTTGTAGTTCTGGTTTTGGGTTGGCCGCTGAAGGGGCTGGTGGGAACAGACACGGACATGGGTACTACCAGGAGGGGGTGGAGTTGAAGGAAAGGAAAATTCACCTAATTAACATGTTTGAGGAAAAAACTGCCCAGTTCCAGATTTTAGAAAAACGAAAAATGTGCCAAAGTTATGAAAGAGGAAGTTTATTTCCAAATCTATTTTTTTTGCTTTTTAAAAGCAGAATTTATAATACTTTTCCTTTAAAAAGTTAAGCAGATAGTATTCTTTTACTTATCTAGTTATTTTACCTCCAAATTCTCGTTTTACTGAAATTGAGGTTTTATTCTCCTGTGACAACACATTGTACAGCATAATTTTTAAGATGGTGTTTGTTGTATAAACATAGATTAAAAATATTTTTATTATTTATTATAAAAATAATTTTTTTATTATATTTATTATATAATGCTCATTGAGTTGTCCCAAAATCCACAATACAAAACATGCCTTCATCTTCTTAAGTTGCACTATGGTGTGAGATACAACATCCAGGTTGTCCTTTGAACAGTTTCACTGCTGCTTTTCTTGGAGCTACTCTCTACTTACATGAACATTACTAAAAATATAGTATTGAAAATACACCACGGATATAGTCCTTTTTTTGCATGGATGTAGATCTTTTACCACCTGTTACAGCAAGTATTCACAGTCCCCTTCCCAGATAACTGAAGAATCTCACAAATGCTGTGAGACAAACTTATTTACATCTTGGCTTTTGAAGAAAATGTAGACAGATGAGCTAATAAATCATTTGTTTCTTAATCACTTTTATGGCAGAGAATTAGTTTCTCTCAATTCCTAAGTACATTGAGCATTCTTGCATTTGCTGTTTAAGTACCTGTAGATTTAACAGTTCTTGCCACTACAGAAGGAAAGGGATTTAGTACAGCGCTGTACAGGAAAGAAGGCTGTACTAGCTGAAGAGATTTGTCTCAGAAAGCAAGCTTTTCTGTACACATTCAATAGACTGTTCGGTGTCATTTATTTTCGGCAAACTTCGAATATCTGCAAGCAACTCTAGTCTCTCACAGATTTTTATACTCCCCTCTTTCAGACTAGAGATGCACATTTACCGGTATGGAAACTAGCAGGCATGTCTATAAAAAAGTCTAAATGGAAAAAATCCCCAACACTTTCAATAAAATGTCAGTTCTGATTCTTTCCCAATTTTGTTTGGGACTTGTACACATAAAAAAAATTTTAATCATTTCTGAGCAGCTGTGAACAAACATGATTTTTATATCTCTTAAGCCTTAGAATTTGACTATAAATACAAAGAATATTTAGTGTTTCAGATATTAGGACTAAAGAAAGCCTTAATGACTAAAAACAATTCACTGCACAGCTTCCTGTGCTTGAAAAGGAAGGAGAGATTTCCCTAAAAGTTGAACAAAAGAAACCCAAATTGGTTGTTGCATTTCACTAGAGGGCAGGGGATGGGGAATGCCATACAAGGGACCCCCAGTCATCCACAGCATTACTTTTACTCATCAGTAGAGCATAGATTCAATTTCTCTGGTCTCTGCTACTTCCTAATCTCTTCTCTCCCCCTCACAGGTCTTTCCACTCCCCCTTTCCAGCACTCAGTCCGGCATCTATTCCAATCACACAGGATGAAAAGTAATTATGCAGTAGTGTCCCTCCCCAGCAAGTACAGGCACGTATCACTGACCGGAGAGACCTGCGTAGGAAGTCCTTCAGTTCTGAATAAATGGTTAACATTGCCAAGTGCTACCTGGAAAGCAACTTGCTGCTTCTTTCATTTACAAATCCTTCCAAAACACTCAATAGCAGCACCACTTTCTTTCCCAATAGAAAGAACCTGTCTCTGGAACAGAGAAAGGTCCATAATTGCATTCAATTTATTTTTGCACTAGAGAAATTGGTACTACACACTTGTTGATTATGCATAAGCATAAAATGAAATAAAGTGTGAAATACCATTGTATTGATATTAAAGCTTAAGATTATCTGAAATAGAATTTATTTGAATATGAATGTAAACATTAATAGGAAGCAACTCAAAAAGGAAATTCTTATTGGACATATTAAAAAGCATTTTTTATAGTAATTAAAATCACTATTAAAAGAGACCCCCTCAATTCATCAGTTAAATTGTCACAAATAAAAAGTAAATAAAAACAACTAGTCCTGTTAAGTAACATAGTGCATAAGTCTCTTATTACACTGGTCACTCCGTTTAATTGAAATCGTGAGTTAATGCGCAAGTTTCCATTAAACAGTTGACCTATGCTATGTAACATTATTTCTGCAATAGTGACCTTCTTAGACAGTTACAGCCACCATAAGCTATGAAACTGTCAGCCTCAAGGGTATAGCCTATGAGTACAAGAAAAATCTTTTTTGGCAACTAACTGAACATAGGTAATTCTGATCCAAGGTTTAAGGACATCTGCAATGTAAGTATATCCCGTTAATGGCAATTCAATGCAAGTGAGGGAGAAAAACAGAGGGAAAACCATAAATTGAACCTGCAGCACAAAACCTTACAACTAAAAGATTAACAAGAGATCAGAACTCTACCGTCGCTGAGTGATGAGCCACCAAAGGAACCACTCAAGTGTAATCTTGAAAGGGTTAAACCAGAACTTCATAACTGATAAGAAGGGCAAACAAGACTGTCATGCATTTCAAGGGGTGGGGAAAAGAAAATTTATCAAGGAGTAAAAGGTGAGTGATATGGTATAGAATTTATTAAGAAATGTAATAAGAAGATTGTGGGGTTGTGCGAAACTTATTGTGGGATATTTAGGGGAAGAATCAACGACAACGAAATGGAGGAATCAAGGTGGTTCAGGGATGAACAAACATAGGAAAAAACGGAAGGAGGAGACTGAAATATACTGGCTGCCTGCCTGTGTCTGTTTCTCCATTTAAACCACTGAAATATTCAGCATGCGAAATAAATCCCCTCACCCCCAATGCATCAGAGAATACAAAGTAAACAATATTAAATGCTAATCATCATCTGGCGTTAACACATGGTTTGACACAGACTATATTTATACTAGTTAATTAAGTGTACCCAAACGGGGTCCCTAACACTGCCTACTGAAAGTGACCCCTGCTCTGTATTAACTGTAGGTTGGCCTCTGGAAGCTCTTTGGAATGGAGTTAGTTGTCCTGGGAAAAAACTTTTGCTACATTTCAACAATCCGACAGTTTAACAACACATTTCCAGAGCTTACAAGTTTTCTTTGGCTTTTTTTATTCTTTTATTTATTTCTATTTTAAAATAAAATATACTCAATATAATATATGGAATATATTATACATAAATATAATATGAAAAGCCAAATCCATTTTATAATATGTAAAATACATAATTAAATATAATATATTCCTATATAATAAATGTTCAAATATGTATCTATAAAATATTTGAATCTATTTAAAAATAAGAATTATATAATACATACAATGGTATAGAATATGTATAGATAACAAAACCTAAATACTATTATTTAGTGTTAGATTTTAAGGATTTAGCAAAGTAAAGGAATTTAACTCAGCATATCATAGATGTTGAACAACCCAAATAACTCTTCCAGTTTGGCAAATACTGTAGTTTTAATAGAATTGGTAAGAACTAATAACCACTACCACACCTGAAGTAACATTTTATACTTACTTTGCATAGTCAAAGAGCCTGCTGTCCCAGAGCTGATGAGTTCCTTTAGGACCGGAATGGAAAAAACAAGAATCTGTACCATCAAATTTGTTGAGACCATCTTCAGAGTTTTTTGACGCATGGCTGTGCACAACATCCAGCAGAACAGTGATGCCCATTGAGTGAGCAACATCAATCATTTCTTTCAGGTCATCTGGAGTTCCGTAACGGCTATCAGCATGAAATTGCAATGTGTTATGAGTGGTACAATCTGAACTTAAGCTGACAAGACAAAACATTACTCATGAAAACTACATCAAAGTCAGCAGTTCTTCATCACCTAGTTTCCAGCTGTATATAGGGGTTTTTCTCAGACTCTTCAATAATAGCTTTAATTCATTAAAAACTGACAATTACAAAAAACTAATTACAAAAATTACATCAGGTATGCATGTAAGCTTTTGCAGAAATTTTTTCAAAGTTTTAGTCTTTTCTTTTAATCTGCTAAGACATCAAATTCAGTATGAAAGGTAACTGATACAACTTAAAGCTTCTATTTAATAATGAATACTTCCTTACTTTGTAAGAGCCAATACATTTATATTACTGGAATAAAGTAATACATAATGACTATAAAAGTAAATGTACATTCATTAAAGTCCCCAAAACACACCATCTGCTGCTGTCCTGCTTAGTTATTTGTTTTAGATACTACACTATTTTCCAACTTGTTTTTAAATAAAGATTTTTGTCTCCTGTGTCTGACACACCTTTCTTTCAAATAATTAAGCCAGTTAAAACTTGCTGTCTATCTAAATTCAGCCTGGTTGTCATTTGAGCTTCACCAAGGGAAAAAAAACCCACAACATTCAGGTTTATCATAATTTTCTTAACAATTATCTGAATAAATTTTCCATCTATTCTCACCCTAGGCCTCAAATCTAAGTACAGTCTGTTACAAGTGTAGGAAAAGTTCCTACAGAATGCACAGAGCCATGATTTTAATCAAGTTTATTATGAACAAGTAGTGTACAGTTCTGCTTATGATAAAAGAATGACTTACACATCGTGTTTGTTACCGCCAAGAATTCCACAACACAAAACCCATCCATTAAGACTGACGAAGCTGCATTAGCTCGAATATGCTATGATAGCTGAACTTACTTACAACCTTTTTATTTGTATCCTCTATGAAGTGTTTCACAAACCAGCTGATCACTATGCCAAACAGATTTCAGATTTAAGAGGAAGCTAGAGTAAACACCTAAGCCATTACTTTCTCTTTCCATTAAACACTCACTTGCAAACACACACATACAGGCATACTGATTTCAATGGCTGGGGAGTAAGGTAAAAACAGAGAAGATGCTGAAGTAAACTTACCTTGATGCTGCGAAGAAGCTTGTGACCTGATAACCAAAACTAGCATAGTATGCATGTTCCATAATAGCCATCAGCTGGACACAGTTATATCCTATAAAAAATAGAAGAAATAAAACAACCCCCTGCCTTAAGGATAGTTAAAAGATTCAAGATCTGTAACATCGATTCCAGTCTTGTCTCATTTTAGCTGCTTCTAACTTTAATGACTAACAACTAAATATTCAGTCTCTTTCAAGACTTAATTCTACCTAGTAGTTTATACTTACATGATCTTCCATTACAAATGGAATGGTCAGTTTGTTGGGTGATCTGCATATAACTAGGTGTATTGAGTCTCTCAGATTTAGAAAGCAGTAAGTGATTGGCAAATTAATTTTTATTTAACTTCAGAATGTTAGCTATGCCAATCTGTGTGTCTCAAACTTCTCCTTCATTTTTGACACTTGCAGTCAGGGAGCATGGGGGTACTCACTGGCTACACATACTATACCTTAAACCCTATTGAATCGTTTTTTACCACTTCA